CCATCACAGAAGAATTTCAATCAGAATTTTTTTTTTTTTCAAAAATCCATTTCTTGGTTTTGTCATAGTTTTATGGGAAAATTACATAAGTTTCAAGAACTTTTGAACCCTAGTTTTTACCGGAATATGGGGCTGCACTAGATGTTGTTAAGAATAAAAAGTTGGCAAAGTCTTTGAAAGTATCGTGGTAGATAGACTGAATCCTTTTCTATCCAAAATAATCCATCCTTCCCAACATGGCTTTATGAAAGGCAAGTCTACTGTCTCCAATCTCCTGCTCTTTCAAGAATATGTCTTGTCTGCCTTTCGCAAGAACTACCAAGTTGATGCAGCCTACATTGATATGGCAAAAGCCTTCGACAAGGTCGACCATACAATTCTTGTGTCTAAGTTGCTGGGCTACGGAGTGGCTGAACCTCTTTTGTCATGGATTTCTAGTTATCTTCAAAAACGTTCTCTTGTCGTGAGGATTGGTTCTACCACTTCCACTCAGTTCTCACCTTCTTCAGGAGTTCCACAAGGTTCTTTGCTGGGACCTTGCCTCTTCAATGTTTTTGTCAATGACCTACTAGACAATTTAACTGTAAAGGCCTTACAATTTGCTGACGACCTGAAGATTTTCACTACTGTGTCTACACCAGAAGACTCTCAAGAAATTCAAAATAGCCTTTCTGAAATTGAGGATTGGTGTGTCAGGAATAACATGTCTGTAAATCCCAGTAAGTGCTCTTGTATAACCTATCACCGCATCAAATCCCCAGTCATGTACGTATACTCCATTTCTGGTACATCCATTCCACGGTCCCAGTGTATAAAAGACCTAGGCGTTATTTTTTCCAGCGACATGGGATTTTCTGGGCATATAGATCACATCAGTAACAAAGCAAACAAGATGCTTGGTTTCATAGCAAGATTCTCCAGAGGCATCGACAACCCTTCTGCTCTTCGCTCTCTGTATTGTTCCCTTGTGAGACAGCTAGTGGAATATGCAAGTCCCGTGTGGTCGCCTTACACTGTTGGCAATAGGACGAGACTGGAGGCTCTACAAAGGCGTTTTCTTCGTTTGGTTGGTGTCCGGCTGGGTTTTGCCTATCTTGATGTGCCTGTGGAGGAACTGTCCAGCAATCTGAACTTGTCACCTCTTGCCCTGCGACGTGACGTGGCTGATGTTATTCTTCTCTGGAAGATAGTCAATGGTCACATGAACTGTCCAGATCTCCTAGCTGAAATCGACCTCAGAGTGCCTACAAACACAAGATCTCGAGATCTGCTGTGTCGAAGATACCACTCAACCAACTTCGACTTCAACAGTCCGCAAGGTTTACTCGCCTGGGAAATCGAGTTGCGTCTGGGTGTGACCTGTTTTTTGATGGACTTCAGCAGGTTCGTCGGCAGGCCTCCTCTCTTCTTCTTTCTGGGAAAGACTAGTAATTAATTTATTGTTGTTTGTTAATCTTTATTTTCTGTTGTTGCTATGTTAGAGTATTTATTGTTGTTTGTTAATCTTATTTTTTTGTTGTTGTTACGCTTTGGATATTTATAACCTGTTATATCTTTGTTAACTTATATTTATCATCAAATTTTGCTTACCTATTTTGTTGTATTCAACCATCATGTTTATCTTTGTAAATTGGCTGCTGCCGTTGGAAATAAAATAAAATAAAATAAAAAGGATTATCACATACGAGTACTTAATTCAATCAAAACAGGGGTTTTCTTTAGAAATTAACATTTTTTCTTGTATTAAGGGATATTTTGTTGAAATACCATAATTTACAATGGAATTTTAACCGTAATTTTTACAGAAATTGGAGTTATACTATTTTGTTCTGAGTTACAACATACTACAGTACTATTTTTTCAAAATCGTTCGGTGATTTCAGACATCAATTCAGTGGATATATCCACTCAAAACTCATACTCGAAAATTTTGTGGTAAACAATACTTTATCCATGTACTAACTAGTATGGGGAGAAATTAAAAATAAGTTGTCAAAGATTTGCTATACCCTCCTGAATAAACTCGTACCGTACCAAGCATACGGACGGTACGTGCAAATGAGTAAACAAAACGCGGTATCAAGCGCGCAGCAGTAGCCTACTACATCAGGAGCAATGACCTACATCGCATTCACACAGCTGCGCCGCCACCGCCGAGTACATCGCGAGCGCGGGTAATCGTTCACTCCGCATCGCCGAGTCTAGTCCAACAGTTTAGTCTAGTCTAGTCCGCCGCTAAGCTCAGTCCAGTCCAGTTGGCAGCAACTGCAGCGCGCCAGGTGACGGTTCCATGAACTTCGTGGTGACGGTGCTGCGATCTAAGTAGAGGGGTCAGTACTACGTGCGTCCACCGTGCACAACACAGTACATTGTAGAAATTTCCTGTTCACACGTCCTCCCGCATAGTCTTCAATCTAGTAGTGTTATATAGTCAATGCTCTCGGCCTAGGAAGGGGCCTTACTTGGGTCTCAAAAATTGGAAAATAAGTTTTGCTGTTAGAATATAATTTGTTCTCACAATCACCGGAAGCGTCTGCAAAGATTGCACGATCGAAAATCACGACTCCCAGCGATCGTTACATTACCAGCGATCGCGGGTGACGATAGTGTCTCGCAAACGCGAAAGATGACATGGAGATTAATGGTGTTAACGATTTTGCCGCGATTGCGGGGGACGATAATGTTGTCCACGCGTTTGCCGGAGATGTTAACGATTTCGGCATGTAGAATATGTCCCTGCGACCGCAAAAGATGTTCACTATTCCACCGTAAACATAGGACATGTTAACGATTGCTCCGCGGTCTCGGAGATAACCCGTGCGACTGCGGGAGACGGAGATTACGGCCCCACAAACACGGACGCTCACGATTTCATCTTCACCGAGGACAATAATCGTTCATTTTGCCCCAATCACAGAAGTAGTTTGGACCAATTATAGTACAAAAAATAATGTATAATATAAAGATAATATAATTATACAATGTATTTCTTACAAAAATAGTATCTCCTAAATAGAAATACCCCCGTCGCAGCAAACCTGCATACTAAGCGAATTCCCATTTACCCTGCTTGATTTCTACTAAAATATTCCCTATAAATTTTCAGATTTATTTCCTATTTAAATAACATTATTAGTGAGTAGTTAGGTTTGCTGCTACGGGGAAGATGTTGAGGTGTGTTTTTTCAATTGAAATATTGATAGCTTAGTATGAAATAAACCAAATTGCCAAATTTGATTAAAATATATCCATAAACAAGCAAACTAGAACAGTTTATTTATTCTCCATAAGAATAACATGGGAATTTTAAATTTACAATTTTTTTTAATTTTCCCCGTAGTCAATGAACATTCAAAAACACTTCAATATACTAAATTATTTGTTTTTTTAAGCTCTTCAAAATGGTCTAGAGAGAAATTTAGAAATTTAAAGTTTTTAGGGTCAAAAACGAGAAAAACCCATTTTTACCCCATAAAACCCCCCATAAACCCCTGATCCCATGGTCCGATTATGCTGGTTCGCGAACTCGTTCGAATAAATGTAGGTTTACACGTTTGTACCAAATTTCATCAAAATCGGATCAATTTTGCTCGAGTTATCGCGCTAACGGACACATATATAAATATATATATATATATATATATGAATTTGAACGGATGGTGTTTTTGGCCTCTGGGGACCTCAAAACGAAAAAGTAAATCGGTCCCGGGTCTAGGTCTTACCATGAGACCTACGGTAATAGCTTATTCCCTATATGGGAAATTCGCTAAAAATTAAAAAAAATGTCAGCAAAAAACCTGATTTGTGTTACTTCATGGAGTTCTCGATCTCATTACGACTCTCCAACTCATAAAAACGTAAAATGTTAATAAACTTAAAGGAAACTTTAATTTAGCATCATTAAATTTTTCTTAAATACAAAAATTGATTACATTTAAAATAGTTGAAGTAAGCTCATTTAATTAGTGATACAAAATAGGTACATTAAAAGCATATATTTCTTTTTACTTCTAATCACTGATTAGTTTAGGGTTACTTTTTAAATAAACCCCATGGTACCCTGTTTAAAATAATTTTATACATAAAATAATTTTAAACAGGGTACTATGGTATTTATTATTTTACTTGTGTATAGGCCTATATATATATGTATGTAAAAAAGGCCCTCTCATCTAAGCCGCCCCAGGCCCCCAACTATGACAGTACGCCACTGTCGTCGTCACCTGCGGTCACGAAAACGTCATCGTTGTCACCTGTGGTCACGAAAACGTCATCGGCATCTCCCGCGGTCACGGAAACGTCATCGTCGTTTCCCGCGGTCTGGGAAACGTCATCGTCGTTTACTGCGGTCACGGATACGTCATCATCGTCATGTGCGATTGTGGCATAATCACTAATAAATCCCATGGGAGTAAATGGAAATCATCATTGTCTCCCGCGGTCAAGGAAACGTCATCTTCATGCGCAATCGCGGTAAATTGAAAATTCCCGGTAAAATACAAAAATCACGCATAATTCCCGGTTTTCCCGGTCAGTGGACACCCTGAGTTAACAGGTCATTAACAGGTCAGTGGATGGGATGACCTGGGTACATGCCATGTACGACAATTTAACGCAACAGTATTTTTTTCAATGGTCTACTTTGACATCGTAGGACACTAGGATCTAGATTTTACATATTCAGACTAGTCCTAGAGCATCACACCATTGTTAAACCTATTTGGCAGATTTAAATCTGGGACCTAAAGGACAAAATATCTGGTGTTTTACCACCAGCTCTTTTGCAAAGCGTTCATATAGGACCAATACAAAGTACTGCTGGCGCGTGAATGTCCTTCAAAAGCTGACCTCACATTGAGAAATGAAATGGAATAATTTTTTCACACGGTGGTGAAATACGCTACTACATTGTCAGCACTCAACATGATAAAATCAAGTTTTACAATCATTCCTGAAACTGTTTAAGATGATTGGCATTTAAGCCTACTTATTTTACTCACCATGCCACGTAACTTCTGCTGTCTGATCTCCGTTCTCACCAAACACAACCCAAGTATGATCCTCGGACAGGGCAAGATGAACGTCACTGAACCCTAGCACCTGACAAGCAGCCACCACTGCGAAGGCCACACCAAAACAGTCCAGCTTGTTACCTGAACAAAACACTCTTGTCAGAAAACACCATCAGTAGGTAGGTACCGTAACCGATAGCTTATTAATCTGCAAAATTGGAATGTCCTGTGTTTAGCATCCATAACGTACTCTTTTACTTGGCAAGTTAGCAGAACTTTGAAACCACAATTCAACTGGTTAAACTGTATGTTTACAAAACTCTTAGGACTAAGATGATGCGCATATATTTTTCCATATTAAGTTAAGTTTAGCCTACAGTCGGGACCACGTAAGTTTGCAGTTGAGGGAGGAGCCTATTTACCATATGGTTTTGAATGAACCAATGAGAACCGTGCACTGCTGCCAAAACTTATAATAGGCTACCAGCTGATTTGAAAATATTGCTTGGTATATTTTAATTAGTGTTGTCAACGGGCGATGTGGCGATGTCGCACTAGCCTTGTCTTGTGATTGGCTGTTACCAACTGCAAACTTACGTGGTCCCGACTATAATCTATCTTCGTAATATTTATAATTGAACTGTAGGTACCTAATCTATTTAACAATAGAACCTATTACTGGTGACCTGAAAAGCCACAACCGGTTGTATTTTAATTTATTTAATGTGATGTGGTAATTCACATGTTATAGCTTAGCCCTACTTATGATTTATTTTTGCTTTAAGTTATTGATTCGAATTAGGCATAACTTAGGTGGGTCGGGTTGGATAAGGGGGTCTTCACTCTATGTATAGGCCTACCTATCTACATTAGAGTTAACTCTATGAATGCACTGTATGTCTTTGAAAGCGGCAAAACTACCGTTGCCCTTGTTTTGGTAGTAGCTTAGTCTATACGTTTAGCCTATATGGAAGTTTACACTAAGGGCGGTAGGACCGCTGCGCAACCATAATGCCATATTGGCGGCCACTGTGTAGCCGTCCAGTGCCGCTGCAGCAGGCGGTGTTTTAGCCGCTCTTGTCCATGCAGTGGCGTATGAGATCAATTGGCGTTTACACATTTGGCGGGTTTTATACCATTTCCTCAGTCAACTAACTTAGAAGTTGTCAACAGCATCATAGATTTTTGCAATTGACATCATTAAACTGTGTAGGTACGGTACCTATCAGCCTATGTGTGTTTTGTCAATTTTTGCAAATTTTCCACTTCTGTTTATAGGATTGATTCAAAAAACGTGATTTTTCTGTTGCCTTCTTTTCCTTCGACTGCAAGTTATTACAAAAGTGCTAATAGTTAGGCAAGTCGACTGTTCATTTCATAATTTAGTTAAATAATTTACCTACTGATTAAACCAATGGAACATTAATCATAAAACAGAGAAGCCACTACAAAATAATGTGGTAGCTTAGAGGTAAATAACAAACATCAAGTTACGACAGTAAGTAAGGCCTAGGTGTAGTGTCTGTAGCTAATGAAATTGGCAGCATTTTTCTGGATATATATGGGTGGCAGTATTATAACCGCTACATGTGTAAGCAAGCCAATTTTCTCAAGCGGCTTCGGTGATATAGGTATCCTGCCTGCCACTGCAAAAACCTCTCTGTCTGTAACCAGCGTAATGAATATAACTAAAGTTAAGTACTTAGGCTCATTTTGAACTTTAAAGTCGGTTTTAAGTTTAACTTATAGGCTAGTTAGGGAGTAGGGTAGGCCTAGTTAGGGTCTTAAAAGTAAGTGGCCCCAATGTAGGCCGAGCCCAACTGTGTACCTGTTAAATAACTATACAGACTCTGTAGATGGGCTCTGTCTTTGTAGTAACTTCTGGTTAAGGAATTCCAAATAACATCTGATACCCTCTTCACTAGTTCTCGAGTGGCATATTTTAAATCACTGTACAAGGACATGTCAACTGTTGATTTAATAATAGTGTGAAATTTAGTGTAAAGAGTTTCCACAATGTGGTATTCCACAGGCACAAGATGCCCAAACTCATCATTTTCATTATTAGCCGGATAAGGCCTATTACATGTCATGGAATTTTCTATAGCACCAACAATAATTGATAGAAGTGCTAAATCAGGTTCAGGTTTCCTCTCTAATTCCTTCTTAAAAAATTTTACAACCGAAGGAATGTCTTGTAGCGGGAAAACTTTCCGATCAAGCTGTCGAAAACCCGCCATGTCGTTTTGGCAAGGTGAAGGACTTTTTGTAATTACGTTGTTGTACCGGCTTTACCAGAACTTGCGATCGCCATAACTACAACACTGCACGAGATAAACTAGAAATCATCTTCATTACGGAACTGAACTGTTTCACGATTTCACAAAAATCACTTTCACTGGCTCAACATAAAACAATATAAACAAGGACTAATAATAACAAGTTGATTGGATTGATCACAACCACAACAAAAGCTCAGCATTCAGCAATAATAATCGTTTAGTTAGTAAACAGCTGTTACAATTCCGATTCAATTGACGTGTGTCTGTGACGTCGGTCAATGCGATATTAATATGATCAACGAAGACCGAAACATTTTTCTTATATAGTATAAAGTGACTGCTCTGTAATATCATAAATATGTTTGAATTTAATTACTAGTAAGATATTAGTGATAGGAAGAAAATTACAACAATTGTTTTTTCTCACAAGAGGTGATGTCAGCCACTTGTCACAGCATAAAACAATTGGAAATAATCTAAAAGTGAACTTTTTGTTGAGGGGTTTTTGAAATATGTAACATTTTGTCATGATTTTGTTATGTATATCTATATATTAATTTGAAACTGTTTTTCTTTGTCATAGCTATTTTGAGAGAACGGCTGGGCGTAGAAACTCGGTAAAGGTGTCTAAAGAAAGGTCCTGGTCTGTAGATGAGCCATCAAAAGAGAAACAAGGAGAATTCCCTCGGGGCTCCCAGACAGCACACTTTATCCCAGGGACATCCCATAGTAGTCCCATATGTCCTGAGAATGTCTCTGGATATGTGCACTATTCTCAGGATATCCCGCAAAATCCCGGGACGAGTACGAAATCCACAGGATATCCTACAATACACCGTAATGTCCCGGGATTTGTAAGTTAACCTCAGGATATCCTGTAAAGTCCCGGGATATGTACGAATGCCATAGGATATCCCAGAATGTCCCATGACATCCCGGGACATGTACAAAATCCACTGGATATCCTGTAATGTCCCGTAATGTCCCGGTAACAAACTGAAGAAAAAAAATACTATTACTGATGAAATGTACAGTATATCTAAATTTAAACGTTCAACAAGAACAAGGCCAATATATAATAATTTGTTTTTTTCACTAGTGCTTTCAGAAACTTGGTTTCCATCTTCAGGCTGTGTTTACACTAGTACAAAAAGTAAATATTTACTTAATACATTAATTTTAAACAAAGTTAAAACAGATGATTTAAAGGATATTGGAAAAATAAAAAATAATATTAGAAAAATTAATCTTTTGAATTTTGGATATGTTACAGTGTTGTTCTTGATGTAATTATTTTCAGTAATTCCGAATTTATAATTGGGCCGTCTTCATTATTTAACAAATAATTTTGGTCTGTTTTTTTTCTAAAAATAAGATTCCCACGCATTAAGATGTTGAGGTTTTATAATTTATTTTAAAAGTTTAAGGTTTCCCAGATTGAAAATATGTCTTGTTAATACTATGGCTAGCAAGGGTTGACTTTACTTTACTGACATATTACTACCACTGAGTTCAGGAAAACTAGAGTTCTATCATAGTTGTGTGAAATGTGAATTTAATTCTAACTTTAAATTAATAAAACAACAAAAAACTAATTTTAATCATATAACAATCAATTATTACAGTGCTAATCTAATGGTGATTAAATAATCTATATTCAAATACCAGTATCCTCTCCAACTACCAGAAAAACAATTCAACTACTTGAGGTCTAAACAGATTAACAGAATCATATATAGCCTATACTGTAGTATCAAAAATATTTTAAGTATTGCGACCATTGCAACTGTCGGCTACTCTTTAACCACTTGAAAACACCCATAATCAACAAGCGCAGATAGCTCAGGAGGTAAGGTAAGAGGCTCACAAGGCGAAGGTACCAGGTTCGAAACCCGTCTGGGCCAAAAACTTTTTTCTCGTTTTTTCTTCAAAATTTGTGTTTATTAACTATTTAATCAATTTACTAAACTTATAATTAAGCTTTTCATACTAAATCTATATTATTTTGTGTTTTTTATGTTCAGGCCCAGACCACACTTTATCCCAGGGACATCCCATAGTAGTCCCATATGTCCTGAGAATGTCCTGAGGACTACCCTGGGATGACCTCGGATGTCCCACGGATATGCGTGTGAGCTTATCCGTAGGACATCCCCGGGCGGGGACATTAGGCATTCCTGTGGATATCCTGTGATATCCCAAGTTGACCATAGGACCACTATGGGATATCTTGCATATCCTGTCGCAATATCCGTGGGATGTCCTGAGGAGAAAGTGTGCTGTCTGGGCTCTGCCCCAGTGGCCTTTAAATTCCCATACCATGTTATTCTTATGGAGGAAAACGAGGTTTTTGTCACAGCTAATGTGAGAGAACAGCTGGGCGTAGAAACTTGGTAGGGGTGTCTAAAGAAAGGTATTGGTCTGTAGGTGAGCCCTCAAAAGAGAAACGAGGTAAATTTCCTTGGGGCTCTGCCCCAGAAGCCTTTAAAGTTGCCTCTTCAAATTTGTTTACCATATGCATAATTCTACACTACTTTTTGATGAAACAGCTGTTAATATTTAAATTGTGATTTATTGAATTTTTCAAAATGAAGTACAGTATTTGTAATGGGTTTTTCTGATTTTAAAATCGATTTTATTCGGCATCCTGTCATGTTTTGCAATATAATGTTCTATTACCAAATCAGTGGAAAATCCTAATATCACAGTAACTCTTAAAATTATTTCTTTAGGAGTTAACTTATATCTATTGTATGGCTTGGTTTCTGCCTTTTTTACCACTTCTTGGAGATTGTACGTAGGTGATATTCTTTGGCGTATTGCATCTGTAGACGAAACTTGGGTTGGTGAAATTATTACAATGGAAAAAAGCGAGAAATCTTGGACAATTTGATATAGGCTAAAAATAAAACTGAATTAACAATATACTACATTTCTTGAGCAATCATTGAAATAACCGATTTGCAAACAATGGAAACATAGAAAAAGTCATAGAACACAACCAAGTAGAAGAAAAGAAATATTTTTTTTCATTTATAATCGTTATTATAAACAACCTAATGCGGCTATGAGAGGGGAAATTTTTTAGAAAACACTAAAAAACAAGATAAGCTTTTTGAAAAAAGATAAGATATTTACAAAAGATATTGATTATATCTAACTGTTGTGTAGATCGTGAGTATTTCCATGATCTTTAAGTCGCCTGTAATGCTTCGCAATTGCTCGAATTCGAGCAACAGGTACACTAGTTATATATAAATTAGTAATTGAAATAAATAATTAAACATTTAGTTACCTTTAGTTATTAATTAATTTATATATAAATTATATGTATATAATATATGAATTTTAACGGATGGTGATTTTGGCCTCTGGGGACCTCAAAACTAAAAAATACAACGGTCCCGGGTCTAGGTCTTACCATGAGACTTACAACGGTAGTAGCTTAATATTCGCCATCTTATTGGAAATTCGTTAAAAATACAGTGGAACCTTGATAAGAAGAGGTGGATTTTGATAACAAGTCGTCCTTGATAACTAGTGTCAATGTACCGTATATAGTGAATAGTGGTAATAGGGTATTAAAGTGTGGTGAAAAATAGCGTTCGTACCACGGACCGAAATGGTTTTGCAGCTCTCGATCGATTCAAGTTCTCGACTTCGTCTCGAACTTGAAAACTATCTCGAGCCGGCAAAACCTCATTTTCGGCCCTTGGTACGAAATATACTATTTCCCCATAATCACATGTTATTACAAACCTCAATAAGAAGTCAACCTTGATAACAAGTCTTATTTTACAATCCCCACGAGAGTCTTGTTATCAAGGTTCTACTATAATAGTGCTGTAGGCCTACCCTGTTGGTAAATTTTATAACTTTTAATGCTTTTGTATATCATAGAACCAACTTTATAGTTGAAAGGTTAACATGGAAAACTATACAGAGCCACTGGGGCGGAGCCCGGAAGGATTTTTTAGATAAGAAAATTTCTGATTTTAAGTTTTGGGTGGAAATATCCATCTTGCCCCCCCCCCCTGACACCAAAAACTGGTTTTCGAAGTGATATCTCTGTATAAGTAAGTGTGTGTGTGGATTTGTACATAGCTGCTACAGTCTACACCTGTGATCCCAATTTGATGAAATTTGGTATGTAAGTAGGGTGTCTCCAGTGTTTTTTTTTATCATTTTCTTGAAATTTTATTTTTTAATATGGTGGTTGGCTGGAACGACTGATTCAAATTGATTTTGTCATTCTCTTTAACTCTAAACAAAATAGTTCAGCTCCCATTGTTGTAAAACCCACGGTGTAAAGGTTGTTGCAACCTTTGTGATTTCCACCATAAATTATCTTAGTTACAATAGTTGAACCGACTACTTAACTCTCCGACTGCTTAACCATGACTAGGGTTGGAAGCTAATGAAAGAAAGTATGTGTTAGATTGCTGATAGTTTATTTTATATGGCTGGAGAATTATTTCACAACCAATTCCCATTTAAAAGTATTTGACAGAAAGTGTTATGAGTTAGTAAAGTCAGTCTTGTCAGTAGCTTGTGCTGTAAATTAGTCTAGTTCAATGTAGTATAAAATAAAAATAGAATTAAACACAAACATTAAAATTTGATCTCTAACCGGCCATGCTAAAACCATTAGAAATAATCCCATACATAATACCCCATATACGAGCACGCTGGACAACACAGCCGAACCAAAGCTCTGTTTGTGAACGCCCTGAAGATGGTTCTTATCATTTTTACCAAACCATGAATAAAATTATCACTGGCGATCACGATAAGTGGGTAATTGCCGTGGATCAATCTCTGACACAATTAGGAGGACAATAATAATTGAGGAGGTCACGATTCGATTATAGATCTAGATAGCTCGAACAGAATGCCACGTTTCCCGTCGTTAAAACTTGACAAAACATGGCTACGATATCTATTTTGCGATTTTCAATGTAATTATGTATAAACAGTAAATCTGCCACTAAAGCACAGATACTTGGGCACTTTTATGCTGCGATTATTTACGTTCAATTAAGAGTGAATCGGTTACTAACCTTGATAGATATACGGTACCGTAGATAAACTAAGCTTTCTGCTTTACGTCTTCACAATTGTTAAAGTTATTATATTTTTAAACTTAATCTGCATCAAAACTTGGCCAGACAATTAGGTAATAGCATTATTAATAGTCAAAGGTAATAGTATATTT